CTGGCGGGCACAATCTCCAAACCGACATGATGCAATCTACGATTGCTGTACCAACCCTTATTGCTGTACCAACCCTTAGTCCTTGCACATGGCAGCGTCAGCGGCTCGGCCAAAATTTAATGGCGGGTCTGCACCTTAGCTTGCAGGTCTTTTCTCTGGTCCACGTGCCTGCAGATCATAAAACTGAAATATACCTTACCATGTGCACCAAGTCACGAGGGTATCAACAAACTCTCTCTCTCTCTCTCTGTCTGTCTCTCTCTCTCGACTCCCTGGCGTTAAAGAAGCAATCTGGCCAATAATCCGACAAACACGAAGAATAACAAAATGCACATGGCTTTAGCTAGTTATGCTTTGAGCTTCTTCTGCCCTTGCTTCAGACTGAACCAGATCAAGCAAGGCGCAGTACATGTTCGTAGTGTTGTGCTGCCGCACTGCAGCGCCACAGGTGCTGTCCGGGTCCAGGTGAAGAGGCACATCTTTCCTTTGCCAGCGCGGAAGAGATTTCCGAAAACATCGCTTGCCGCATGATTGAGTGATAGAGCCCTGTTCATGGAAAGCACCCGCCCAACAACATGAATAGTGTAAGTTTGATTTTTCGTGTTTGGCTCTGAAACTGCTTCCCGGCTCTGCGCTGAAGCCGGTGCTTGTCTGCTGTTTCGTCACTAGATGTCACTAGTTAAGGCTTCTTGGCGTATGGCCTGATGTAAGGAGAAACAAGATTTGGACCGCGACCTGCCGCCATGGCATTTTGTTCTGGGTCCCCAAATCCACAAAAAATCCAAAACTCGGCACCTGTTCCCAGATTGTCCTCCTATTATTGCTACTGCTACTATGCCCAGTGTAACACGAAGCGTGCTTCTTGGAGTTCTTGGTTTAAAGACGCTATTTCCTGTCCGCATTTTGCATTCACAGAGAGAAGTGGAATGGCAGGCTTCATAAGCAAGAAACCAATGATTCGGCATGGCGGTACTGGTGCCATGTGTAAAGAGCGTAGCTATAGCTCCGTGCATCCTCCGCAGGGCTGGACACCTACTGCCGCCATGGCCATCCTAAATCTTGCGCATCTTGAACTTTTGGGCATAGGGGTATACGAGCGGTTTTCAAATTTGATTGCACTGCCTGCCTGCCTAGTGAAAAATGATACTACAACCCCCACCACCCTAAAAGCACAAACAGCTCTGCAATCGTACTGCAGTGAGCTGAGTCCCCGTCTTCATCTCGGACAGTCTCACCTGCTCAGCTGGAGCTCTGCATGGTTCAGATATTGCCGCTTTTGGCATCATCACTGTCACTGTCAGACTGTTAGTCTTCTCATCATTCACACATTCTCCGTACTACGTATCACCATCCAGAAAACCGCTCTGGGTCATGTGAGTTATTTGATGCTATTTGCCTATGGCTCATATACGGCTAATACAATTCTCACTACTGTTCCTAGAACCTTGTTGGTTGTTGCTAGCTGTTTCAACAGCTGCTGCTGCTGCTGCTGCTGCTGCTGCTAATGCAGCACTGCTTCCATCAAGAATGCTGCTATAATGCCACTCCTGCAGCAAACCGCATCTCATTCTGCTCCTTTGCTTGGATGCGTCTACAATAACTCGTTTGTGGCTAGCAGGAAGGAAGGCATCAATGTCAATATCCTTCTAACTGGCCCCACAGCCATCGAGCTATAAGTTTTACAATATGTATGCAATCTGTCTGTATATCCCTTTCTCACCCTGCGGTACATGCATTTGAACCTGAAGCAAGAATCCACAATGAACTTGTTGCCTCTGTCTTGTTGAGCCTGGCTCTAGCATCGTTGAGGCTCACTTCCTGCCTGGGGCTTCAGGCCAGCTCCAAGGAATAGTCAGAGTGATACAGTGGCTAAAGGGGGACTCCATGTTATGCTGGGTATGCAGGGTGTAATTATGGAGATTACCGCCAGAAAGTGGCTAGTGAGAGCTTGGGGTGGGCATTCCATGTTGCAGGGCTGCGGCCCTCCTGAAGTAGATCGGATGCAAGAGCTGTGGGGGAATCATCCATGGACCCCGAGGTCTGGTCAAGTAGAAACAAAATCGAAACACTCAGGTCGATAAAGCTACTTAGAACCAAGCGTGGGGCAGGATGCGTGAGCCCTTAATTCAAGTTGGATGTGCTCAGGCCTCATCACAACAAATCAGCTAGAGACTCGCCCGTCTACAAACATTTTCATGCATTTTCCGGGTGTCCGAGGTCGCGTTTGCATGCCCTTCCTGGCACCATACTGCTCAAAGTTAGCCGCAAGGGCAATTGACATGAAAGGGCTCCGGAAGCTGGAGCCCTGTCACGAATGAAATGAACACCAAAGCAATCCAACTCAGAATTTGTTGGGAAGGTACTCTGTAACGTGCCCAAGCTCCTGCCTGCCAACTAGTTACCATCTAAGCGTCACAGTGGACACACGAAAAAAAAACACCACACCAGAAAGAAGTGCGGCTTCTGGGGATTTCCCTCAGCCCTAGTGACCCTACCTACAATCACTTCACGCAGGAAACATGAAGAAGCTCTTCGGGCTCTACCTGAAGCCAGGCAAAGGAGGGAGCTCGAAACGCCATGGAAGCAGCAGTATAATTCCGAGTATCTGAAAATGGAAGACCCAGTGCACAGAAGATGTGGATTGAATTGCTGGACGTGAATCCCAGCAATTGTCGTGTCCAGCTTTCACCACTTTCCGAAAAATCAAGATCATTTCACGCTTCTAGGACATGGTAGCCGCGGTGTTGCGATGCAGTCACTCCCTGTGTGCTTGCATGACGACTCTTTGTCCTTGGCATGTTTGGTCCTTGGCATGTCCGGAGGACCCTTCTGAAAGAAGTCAAGGAGCATCTCTATTTCAAGTTGCGCCGTTTTCAGCGCCTTAGAGAGCAACAGCCACATTCCGCCTCACATGCGAAACTGACAATGCGGCTAGCCAGGCCGTAATGAGTCAGGACACGCTGCGATTTTGCAAAGATTTTGAATCCCATGCCCCTTTGTCCCCGGGCTTCCTTTACTTACAAGGGCGAAGTGCACCTGATAGATTTCCGCCTTCAGCGGACCCGTCGCAATTTTTTCGGCCCAGGTACTTGGCGCAGGCGCCGTACCTGTCGAGGTAAAGAAACAGCTGAAAACAAGATCTAATGATACTTTGTTGATGCTGATGTTTGCTCTTGACTGAGGTCACGTAGCTCAGTGTCACGTGGGTGCATGGGTCCTTACACAGATGAAGGGCGGACAGCGTCCCCACAAACCCCACAACCCTTGAAGCTTTCGCTAATCTCAGCCGCTCTTCTAGCCAGACTGCCTCTTGTAACCATCTACCAGTGGGACTGCCCGAAACCTTTTGTCCCGCATACCCAGCCCATGTGACCTCGCCCTCCAAATCGCAGGCTTATCTCTAGCTCCACGCAGCCTCATCCTCGTGATCAACCACAGGCATGTCCTTCCTTACTGAGTCACTTCATGGGGTCATGAAGCAAAAACCACCCCTGCTCCTCATGAGCTTGAAATCATTGAAAGCACTCAAAATTGAGTCAGCAATGATCCGGGCTTGTCTCCAAACAATTGAGCTTAAATGAGTTAATCACAGAATGTGTCTCAGCAGCACTACCACAGGCGTAAGCCAAAACATGCTATTGATGGCAAGTTGCCGAACTGCTTTGACAAGCAGTACATAAACTATTGCAAGGCACCTATCATGACCCACTTTGAGGACGAGCACCCGCGTTGGAAGTCACATGTTGCATCCCAGATTCATCTCAAGACGTGGGCACGTGCCAAACATGTTTGGCGAGCTGATCCTGGCGCAAAGTGGGGTTGAATTTGGTAAACGCGACTTCAGGATTTCAAGTTGGGGAATTTGGTTGCACTGTTCAATCGGAGTCGAAGCCATAAATGAGGACAGTAACGTACAGGAACAGCTTAGATTTTGTTTTTTGCGCTCTCCAAGTCATTGCTTACAACCTCTCGTCTTAACCCCTGTTCGGCAAGCTGAACATTTAAAGTTCTGAGCAATAAGCCCCTATTCGCCCAACCCAGAAGCCTTAAACAGCGAATACAGGCTCATTATATAGAGGCTAATTATAGGGTTCAAACAAGGTGCCAAGCCGAAATGGCAGCAAGGATCGACGCCAGCCAGGCGGCAAGAAGCAACACCACGCATCCTTAGCAGGTCTTTACATGGAAGCTGCGCCTGCGCGCCTTAGGGGACTGCTTCTGGTGAGATACACAGGCTGGAGCCATGCAGCTGGAGCCAGTTTGGACCTTCATGCTCCGCCTGATGCTCCCCCTGAGCATCTCCACCAAATACGATGTGAAACGCCAGTCTGCCAGGGGTCAATTCTGATCCTTCAGCAGACCAAGCTACTTCAAATAAATACCCCTCACAACCAGTTGAACAAGTGCAGCGTCACTCCCATCATTTTGATTCTGAAAGCGCCGCAAGCTTAGAGCTTCTGATGGTGCTCCGAACCGAGCCAAGCTTCTTTGGCTTGCGCGGTGCTGGACGCCCTTATCCACCATCTGCATGCATCAGTTTTCAAGGGCTGCTGGTATGTATGCGAGATGCCTGCGCTACTGAAGGCACGCGGGTGTCTCTCTGCCTTTGCTTGAAAGGATTTTGCCCCCTGCTTTTGTGTCGCAGCAATCGATCAGTTAAGGCCGTAAGGCCGAAGCCTTCGTCCTAGTTGTTATTTAGCTCGCACGAAAACCGCTGAGCCAATAAAAACTGCAGTGGAGGTCCGACATTTATGCTCATGGCCGCTGAACACGTGATACCATACACCAAGAAGATACCATCTGAAACCTTTCAGCTTTTCAGCCTCAACTGTTTGTATGGGTTATAGAGCATCCAGCAACGAGGTTCAGGGCCATGAGGTAGGTAGTGTCCATCAAAGGCTTGCAGTCCAGAGTAAGAAGCCACAAGCTCATAGATCTCCAGAATACACTCACTGCTAAGTTTTCCTTCAACAGCCAACAAGATCATATCTCCCTGCTACCCTTTCTCAGTTTGCTCAGTGTCAGACTGGCCCATGACCATGGCACTCCTCAGAAATCCAAACCCAAAGCTAGCTTGCGACGGTCAAGCGATACGGTACTTATCAGATCTTATCAGTGCATGCTAAGACCATGCTTCCTGCATAAGAGCTTAACCAGGCAGGATGTCCTTGGTGCAAAGCGAAACTGTTCCAGTGGAAATGGCTCAGGTCACTCGCACAATTTGCAAGCCGACATCGGGTGCAGTAGCTTTGACACGGACCCCGCCATGCAGGAAACTGCCTGAGTTCTGCACTTGCCATCGCTACCCTTACCACGCTACCACTACGATTATTTCTAAATTTTAGTGCGAACTACAATCCAGCACGATAGTTTCCGTTCTCTTTAATTACCGTTGCTAGCCCCTTGCCCCTCTCCACTCCAATCGAGGAGCTGCACAGCCCCAGCCGTGGCTTGGGCACTCGGCGCAGGCGCCTGCTGAGCTCAGAGGCCATGAAAGGGTGCAGAGACCTCTAATCGGACGTGTACTTGCAAAGCCGCAAACTCCGAAAGCCTGCGTCGAGTCTTGCACTGTGGGCTCTGCCACGTCCAGCTCTGCAGAGTCGGGAGGAGCCTGCTGGCCAGCATGATTATGACAACGATAAAAATGATGATGAAGAGACAGGGGCAGCAGTACTGTTCTGCTACAGCTGCTATGCCTGCAGCTGCTTTGACTACTTGCTCCTCTTCTTCTTAATCTTCTTATCCCCTCTTCTGCTTTGCTTGTTCAGGCATGAGGAGTACTTTGCAACCGATACTGGTCCTGCCCCTGCTAAATAGTAACGCTGATACTAGTACTAATAATGGTAACATAATAGCAATACTAATATGAAACCCCCACCCCCTAATTAATATTAAATACTCCCGTTATGTGATATAGACGAATCAATTGGGAGTATTAAATATTAGGGGGGGGGTACGCGGGTTTAGTATTAGGGGGAGGGGATTAAGAACTCATGCGCTCACCAACCCGCCTCGACGGCTTCCGCGGCGGCCTCAGAGACCTCTGGGACAGGCACCTCAGGCCTGGCGCAGATTGTGTAGGGATAATGGAAAAGAAAATGGAAACTACTATTAAGGATTTAGGGTCCAAACTGATTGCAGGCAAAAAGAATGCAGGTGCTTCAAGCGCAAGCTTCGACATGGCGTTAGGCCTCCAAGATACAGTCAAGAACTTCAGAGCTTGAGATTGCAAAGGCTGGTCCCATCACCTGTCCCAACCCCAAACGCCTTTAACCAACAACCAAGTCCATCCAAGTCCAATACCCTTATCGCTTAGATCCCCTAACTGTTGCTCACGATCTTGGCCTCAATGCCACGGGCGGACCTGCAGGCGGTGCAGCCAGCCCCAAGGCCTGAGCCTGGAGTAAAGCTTGTTTTGTAAAGGATTAATGTAGACCCTGATGAATAACCCCCCTCCTTTTCAGGGCCCTCATATTAGGATCCCTAGTATACCCCCTCTTGTAAGGAGAGGGGTTAGCAATCACGGGTCTGGGTTACTGACAATTTCAAATCTGAAGCCATGCAAATCTAGCAGCGTGAGGTTACATGCCCCAGATCAGATGCTCTTCTTCACTCCGATTGTGGTGCGATCGCTACCTCGTGCTGGATAGAATGTCAAGCTACCCATTAATGAAAGGGGTGACAATAACATATTCCCGCCGGGTCAGAAACACTTCGGAAGACTAGCTTGCTTTGAAACAAGTTCGGAGCCCGAAAACCTAAAAACAAGTTCCATCGGCGCAAAACAACTTGTCACAATCAAAAATATTGTGTGCCCCCAAAATATATTATTCCTGATAGTAATCGATTTCCTTCTACGATTCCCATTAGTACACTACCTAGTCCTACCCGAGTCCTACCCCCACCCCCTGGTTTATTGTTGTGCCCCCCCCTCCCCCGGTAGACCAAAAACGCAAGACACACCCAAACAAGATCTGGGGGGGTGTAGCGTTGTCAGGTTAACAATAGTTCCTAGACAGCTGAGAGAAGTGTTGCAGTGGGCACTTGCTTTATCTGACAAAGACGCAGGATGCTCCGTCTCTGCCTAATCTTGTTTCAAAGATATCGTTTGACCTTGGCACACCCTCAGCCAGCTCCCGGGTTCCCCTAGAGCAAAGGAACTAGAAATCCACCCAAAGGCAGCCCTGCGGGCACTCCACCCAATTCAGGCTCCAAAGTAACATTCCCAAAGATAAATGTCATCAATGCAGTCAACGCTAACAAGAACACCAGGAAAATACCATGAATTGCGAGAATCCGTGTGATAGCCTGATACTGGCAACGATGAAGCAGTACCTAAACGCTGCCACCACCCTGCCATCCTGATACCACCCTGCAACACTGCAAAAAATAATACATACCCCCTACATAGAAACCAATGTAGCCACTCTAACTTCATGCTCGCTGCCCTTCCCGGCTGGCCTCTGCCTCCTCCCCGCGTGCAGCTTCCGCCGCCATCGCTGGTGCGGCAATCAAAGCAGCCTCGCAGGCCTTCATGCCACTTATGACAGGACATGACAGGACAGGTGCACAACCGTGTCATTGCCAGTCTTGGCCGATTGCAGCCGATCTGTAACGTTTAAGGGGATCGCAGTTCCTTCTGCAAATATATCTGCTAGTTGCGTTAACAAACAATTTTGACACGCCTCGTTTTTCGAAGCTCTGCGAAGAATGACCTGGAGAGAAGGCAGAGATGCGGGGGAAAAAAGTGCACAGCTGTCCATCAGAAGCGACTTGTGCCATGCACACTTCCGTAGGTGCGAACACCCCATCAACATCATTTGTTTATCCCGGGAGTAGGATGTCTGCCTGCCTGGAGCTCGCGCTTTGGCGGCCTACCTGCATGGAGTAGCACAGTAACACAGTCCAACTCTCACATCTCTCATGAGCACGCAACCGCCGGGACCCTGCGAGAAGAGTACATCGCCTGCTTTTTCTGAGCACATCGCTTTGCTCTCACACTTATGTTCCTATGTTTGTCCACAAGAACGGCACGCCTACTTCGACGACTTCAGCGCAGCTCTGCGCCAAGTCGACGGTCTCAGCATTGCATTTCAAGGCCACGTGACCGAGAAAGACATACAACATGAACCACAATATATGCAAATATGCTCAAATATGCTGTGATTTTCCAGCTGTCAGGTCAGAGCTTTCG